ATGTCTATAGATTTATCAAACACACAACTCATTTTCACAACAGCTGCAGACTTTGAAGAGGCCGAACAATATTAAAGCCAATATCGCAACTCAGGGTAGGGTAAGACCTTCGAAATCAGTTTAATGTATATAATTATCTTAGATCCACTGGCTTTGGCTGGAGTCATACTAATGTTTAATGATACTCAAATAAAATGGTAAAAGCATTGAATTTACATTCTATAGGACAAAGTATTACAGGACATTCAATTAATAGACTCCAGTGACTCGTGACCCTTAAAACGCCTTGGGGAGATTTGATAAAAATTAATCAAAGAGTGACTAGGTATACTTGTTGTAGGAGAGGAGTTTCAATGCACCAAGATAGATGTATGGATATTATTTTACATAAATGCACTGCAAATAGAGACTAGGTAGATGTACGCCAGACCACGTCTCGCGTAACAGGCTTCGCGATATCTCACGTAACACTGTTACGCTGCGACGCGCCTGGCATACATCTACCTAGGCCTGCGGCGCTGACACCCGAGTCGGGCAAAAGAAAGAGTCGTAAATAGGCCTTCGGCCCCAAAAGTCACAATTATTGCTCCACAGGGTTTTATTTTGACGAGTTGACCCTTCAGAGACCATGAAATATTTAAGGAAAAACATTGAAATGGTTTAGGGTCATTTCCGTGTGAAAAACAGTGTCTGGCGCCTCAACGGTTAGAGATAGAGCCAAACGGACAAAATTTTCGCCCGAAGGGCTCTACTTTGATGAGTTACCCCTTAGTAAACATTTAAAAAAATATTTTTAAAAAAACGTCATTTTGGGAACCTGTGGTTTTTGATTTTTTTAAAATCCATTTTTTGAGCTAGAATGCTCTACTTCGAACTTGATGTGTCTTTTTATGATACAAAACGACCCTGAAAATCCCAGGTCGCTAGCTCAATTCGTTCTCGAGTTATCGTGATGACAGACAGACAGACAGACAGACACACACACACACAGACACACAGACAGACGCGAAACTTTTTGATCATCACTGGAGTAATAGGCTTCGCTATCGCTCAGCCAACAAGTGATACTGAATAGAATTTCTCCTGCTGATTACCACAAGATTTGCCTTCACCAGAGTTACGATAGTTGATTGTTCTAATATTGAGAGGGGGTGGGGGGGGGGCTCTACTAAAAGCTTATGTTTAAGAAATTTATAGACATTTATTATTGTAAGATAAGGTGACTTCCAGGCATTCTACTAGTGAACACCATTAAATTTGATTAAATATTTTTTTATTTTTTTTTTATTTCTTAGAAGTCTTCAAATTTCAACTGTGAAACCTGATTTGGATTCCACTTTTTAACACTAGAACTACCGGGATTTTCGAATACCTAGATCTACCGGAGGGGTCATTTTGACCCCTAGGTACTATTTCGCCGTGTTAGCTGTGAAAAGACTGCGGTTTTGGGTACACAACTTCTTATTTTCGTTATTTTTATAACATTTCATGCAATTTTTGCACCCACGGGTTCCCTGTGAAGGGGTTGGTAGGCAACCCTCAAAGCTCAAAATGTAATTTTTCAGAAGTTTTACAGATTTCTTCGGATTGTTTGTTTTGTTTCGGGAAAATTTTATAGGATTGCCATCAAATACAATAATTTTCAACATTTTAGCATAGTCTGTGTTTATTTCAGTCTGACCGACAACCGCAAACACCGCCAATACGGTAAGTAATCCGAAACTTTGGTTCTGCAAATAAAACAGTGCACAAATATCGTGCAATAACAGTCGTAATAGACCATTTATTATCATTTTTAACCTCCGTTCGACCATGTAGCGCATCAGGCAGACAGTACCGTTGCAAATGCCTCATAAGTATTATGTGAGAAAAACATGATTTTGTGATGTGCAAGTTGCCTACCTATGCTGATACAGCTCCAAAATAGTCACACGACCAAGCGGGAGTCAACACTTTCCACAAAGAACAACAATGGCAAGGTTTAAGTTGAAAACCGCTCGTTAACCCTTTACGTCACGGGGTATCAAATTTGATATACCTCCTAAAACACGGCCTGGAGCCGTCTACTTGTGAGGCACATCGCGTTTTTGTCATGGATACGTTTGAGGAGGTCCAGACGACTCTATCCATACCACTTACGACCCCATGAGTGGTTTGGGTGGGTTGCTGTGGCGCGCCAAAAACAGGCCTGCGAGGGGGTCCATGAAGGGCCTAACTGCATCGCCTATAGCTGCGGGTAGGGGGGTCGGATTTTCATGGTAGTGGTCATGTTTTGTTGGCAAAGGTCCAAAGTAAGCAGCGCCGAAGACAAATCGAGGATATTTCAAAAACTCGCATTGTGACACGCTTGCAAAGTTGTGTGTATCAAAAATGATAGTCCGTGACGTAGAGGCCCATTTTTTGTCGTTTTTGACATTTTTTCAATGAGATTCTCATGTTACATTAATACGTGGTGAGGCTTGTGGATGATATGCGAAGCATATTGGGCTAGTCCAGAGCACCCGGAACCATGAGAGAGGGGTGCCCTGAAAAAGAAGCTTTTAGCCGCCTGGACCCCGCTTTGTTAGTTTGTGCAGCGATTTTCGCTCGCAGTAAAAGTCGGACAGACTTTCGGTTCTGTCCATCGTGTCCGCAAAGGTTCAAAGCTTCTGAAGATATCTTTCCTTCGGCCCTCCGATCAAAACTGGCGGAGCGCGAGCCGGCAGAACGCGCGGCGCACGCCGCGGCGGAGGGTGCGTCGAAATCCTGTCTGCCAGCGCGGCTGGCGGCACCGCCCGCCGTGCGAAGAGAGGACAATCCTGTGAAACTTCTATGTCTGAGTCAGGAACGCACTTAATATTATTTCTAACATGCAGGAATCAAGAGATAACAGTGAACGAGGCGTTCTGCGCATGCACAGTAGCGCGGCGGGCGGTGCCGCCAGACGCGCTGGCAGGCAGGATTTCGACGCACCCTCCGCCGCGGCGTGCGTCGCGGGTTCGGCCGGCTCGCACTTCGCTAGTTTTGATCGGAGGACAAAAAGAAAGGTATCTTCATGAGCTTTGAACCTTTGCGGACACGATGGACACAACCGGAAGTCTGTCCGACTTTCACTGCGGCCGTAAATCGCTGCACAAACTCGCAAAGCGGGGTCCAGGCGGATAAAAGCTTCTTCTCCAGGGCGACACATCAAGAACAAGAAGAATGGAGCGAGCAGGCATGAAATGCCTAAATGGCGTCCAAAAGCAGATTGTACGAGTGAGAGGGCGCTATGACGCGGCGCAAACTTCTATATTCAAAAAATATTGCTCAAAACTATAAAATAGAAAACTTTCTTAACTACGGACCCGTTTATGGTTAACAAGAATTGTTAACGTTTTATCAATCTTGGGTTTCTTTACTTTCCTGTTGGCAGCCTCAATTTCTTGATATTACTTTGGATGATGCTTTTTGACATACTCGACACACTGGTCACTCAAGTATTTGCGCACCCCTTCTTTTGTTCTGCTCATCGTGTTCTTCTTATATTCCTCAGCAGAAATTCCTTCCCATGGCATTCGGAGTAAGAGAACCCGAAAGTTGAGACAGAAATATAAGATTAAAAAAAATTAATCATTTGCAGGAAAGCAATGAAACTAAATTCAGTGCTAGCCTTGGCGTTGTAGTAGCAACCCTCAACTTTTATAAGTTTGGGCAGCAAATGCCCATAACTGCCTCGCTTGCCAGAGGGGCTCATAAATGGCACATCTCCTTTGAAAAATTCATCACAGAGTGCCTCTACCCGTGGTCTCATGGTGTCCCCATCTGCACAAGCTCCAAGGGCATTTCCACTCACCCATTTCCCATTCCCAATAAAATACTGTAAGAATACAAAGTTAATAATTGACAAGGATGGATAAAAAACTCTTCATGTATGTGAATGTAAGAGGGCATTTTAAACTTACACAGCCTTCAGGTACAGTTGTCTCAAGAAACTGTTCTTCTATGGGCACAAGATTCTTATCAAGATCGGACAACCAGCACTCCATTGCCTTTGCTCGGATCTGGTCTGTTAAATAATGTGAACTTTAGAACACAAAAGAAACCGCATTCAGTTTATAGTTTCAGCTTATAGATTTACCTGGAAGCTTCAGAAGCTTTACATTAATTTCATTTAGTTTTGCAGATTGCTCATCCAAATATTTCTTGAAAAAATCCTTTCTTTCTTTCATTTGTTCGAATTTCTCATGCCATTTATTACTGATCGCAAGAGCACATGCTAGCTGCTTCTTTAACTTTGTCACCTCTGGTGTACAACCCTCACAGAGTTCCAACTATAAGAAAGGTTATAAAAAATAGTCATTAATGGGGCCTTCATATCTGTGAACCCATGAACTACTAAAAACTAACAACAGAGCAATTAACCCTCGTATTAATATATAACTCATGACATGAAATTTATTTGTCCAGGAAGGGGTCAGCAATTACTAATCACTCACATCGTTGTCCTCAGTTTCTTCAGTATTGAGCGAAGCAGTACATCCATTCTGAAGAACAGTACGATTGTCAGACGTTTCATCGTTATGGTTGTCAGGCGTTAAATTCTGGGGAAATTCAGTACAGGAAAAATGTAGAGTAGGATTTAAAATATATACCCTCCCATCATTAGCTG